CCTTCATGTCATTACACCACTTTAACATGATCTGGTGTCTCGTCAGAAATATCCAGCTCTGGTTTTAATTTTTCTGATAGCGATTAAGCATGCTCTCGAACACCGGTTTTACTTGTATTCCCAATCAACAAAGTGCCAGTGGAAATCGTGTGAGGACTGTTGGATTTTGGTTTCCTCGTTAGTTCTTAAACGGCGTTCATCTTTGTGTGGTACTGTAATAGGACTGTTCCTTGCTGAATTGATGGCAAGCGAAGCCTGGTGGAAAAGATATCGCACCTAGGATGGCGGACCTCAGAGTAAAGCTCGATGGATTATGTCATCGATTATAGCCTGTGTTAGATTGTGCGAATCCTGGTAGGTAAGATGAAAACAAAAACCCTTAAAGAGATCGTGTTAAATAAAGAAAATAAAGGGGTCTTCGCTTTCGAGTCCTCGTTTTCGAGTCTTATGTCTTAGATCTTAGATCTTAGCTTTCGGGGGGTCTTCGTCTTCGCTATAAACCCGAGTAAAATTCGAGTCAAGTCAATTTTTTTTTTCAGAGTAATATTCATAGACAATACACTTTTACTGTAACCGACTGAAACAAAGAAAAAAATCATACCGTGCATTTTACAAGGTTTTTTACCATTTTACCCTTGAAAAAGCTTGTTCGGAGTTCGTCCAAATTCCCCCACTGTAAATTGTTACTTTAGCGCTGTTACCATCTTACAGAATTGTCATGAAGTAAACATAACGTTTCAAAGGCTGTTATTGTCTGTTAACACGCACTACAACTGATGTTCTAACTACCAAAAAAATTGGACTCGTATAAATTTTCAACGTCTTATTTGGAAGCAACAAAATGGCGGTCGAGTGCGAGAAATGCTGATTCTTTTTAACACTCGGAGTCCATTTAGACAGTCGAGATCGTTGAAATGGAACTTCTGCCTCAGGTGCGTGTAATTAAAAGAGGTCAGAATCTGTGTACAATAAACGGAGGTTAGAACCTGTAAGGACAACTCGTAGATTCCGAATAATGTTTACTTCTTTGGTCTCAGCAGCGGACTAATGCAGGATTAACCCTTGCTGGCGGCCATGAAAAGATCAAAAGCTTTAAGCTTAAAATGGATTTTCGGTATCCGGTTAGATCGCTCCATGGTTAGATCGCTCCAAGTCAGATCGCTCCATACCGAAGTCAGATCGCTCCACTCGAAAGTTAGTTCGCTCCATCAAATAAGTTTCTTCGCTCCATACATAAGTTACTTTGCTCCATGTAGAAACCTAATACACTAACTTACTTATATTAATAAGTAAATAATACTTATAGTTTATAGTTGATGATGTGTATTGCGTCTTGCGATCAAGTTGCTGATCGATGTATTCGCTAACTTGAGGCCACCAAAGCGAATTACCGATGTTGGAACAAGTGTTTCAGTGTGTAATGAACGTAGAAAACTAATAAACTAACTTACTTCTGATCTTTGTAGTTTATAGTTGATGATGTTGCTTGCAAACGATTGAGTTTATTCAGTAGTTAAATGATCAAATTTGATCTAATAGATAAAGATTTCGATCTTTTCGTCGGAGATTCATCTATTCGTTTAGGATGTGTTGATCAAGGGAGAGATAAATTGTCCTACATCAGCTGCTTTCTTACGAAAACAACTACAAGTAATTGTCTCTACTATGACTGTTTTCTTAACTGATTAAAATAGAGGAATAATCAATTTCAAAGGAATTCATTTAGAACTAGAATTGGAAATCTTGAATTTTTTAAAGTGTTTTTGGCAAATGTTGTAAGTGCTCCGCCGCTTTATCTAAACTCCATGACGATGTTGATAATTTCAGACTGAAAGACTTGTGATGGTCAATAAGAGCCTAAGAATAAGGAAAATCATTAAAAACAAGTCGCTACATATATGTTATTTGCCGGCTGGGAGGTCCGTATGGTGAAAAACTGAGACCGAGGTCTTGAAAATACTGCCCGAGGCCGTAGGCCGAGGGCAGCATTTTCAAGACCGAGGTCACAGTTTTTCACCATACGGACCGACCCTTAGCCGGTAAATAACATATTTATTGTTTTTAAACTTGACGAAATTCTTTCCGAAAGAACCCGAATGACTTATGGACGTAAATACGGCAAGATCTTCCATAAACTGAACAATTTTTGAGTGGGTAAATGGTAGTTAAAATAGAGGTGATGCAAATTTAAGAGAGATGCCTCAGCGAAACATTTTTATTTCCGTAACGATAAAGGTGATTTAAAAGGCTTCCAAACAAACTTTGAAACATTATTTTTACAAGTATCTGTCACAATCTGACACCTGTCAATTAGAGAGCGCGCAAGAAAAAAAAAAGCGTAGGAACATTTGAAAACAAACAGAACTAGTTTGGCAAGGACTGTCACGACAATGTTTTCTTCAAAATCAGTTAATGATCTAACGGAAAGTATTATTCACTCTCATCGACCATTCATTCATGTACCAAGATTTACCTCTGTTCATTAAGTAAACAGCGAGGAAAGTAATTGTGAGTAAAATCCAATTTTTTTATTTGAAGTTGTGAGAGTTTGCTCGTTTGTTTGCTATAATGGCGTGTTTAACTCTGATCTTTCCTTCACAAAAACTAAATTCGAACGGCACACTCCAACGAGACACAAGGGAATGTAATGCGGCCTTTTCTCAAAAAATTCCTTCAATTTCTGTTGTGCAATTTAAGGTACAAATGTCCAAATTGAACGGAATTGGAAAGACTCACCAGGAGCGTATATTTGTTGTAGAACTTAAATTAAAACTTCGCTCGCTCTTTCACTATGAACAAATTGCTCGAGAAAATTCAGATATTAAATGAATGAAAGTTCCATCGTTCAGTTTAACTGTAACCTAATACCTCACGTTTCAACTTTCTGGGTAATTTTTGTGAACGATTAAAATTAATTGCAGACGGTTTTTAGGCCGCTTGTCAACCAACGTAATGACACTATTGTTTATACAAATTCATTCTGAAACCAATATTTTTCTGTCAACCAAAGTGATTTGATAGAGAGAAAAGGGAGGATTCATAGGTTATTTATCGGCTTGAGGTAGTGACCGACGTGTTTGCTTAAAAATACTGCCCAGCTGGAAAACGAGGTGTATTTATGAAAAAATGACAACGAAAGTTGGGATGTACTCGACGACTCACGAAAGCGTTACCGTGGCCCGTGGGCAGAGATAGGAAAATACTGACCGGGTAAAGAACCAATCAGATTGCAAGATTCGTTACCGTGCCCTCTAAAGAAACAATAAATAGTTTTATTTCCCCTGGTTTAACTGTAAATGATAGGAAGATCGCTAAAGATGAGAAGAGAGTGTCACCCGCTGAAGCAAAACATCTAGCTGTCAGAGAGCTAATTTCAAACGCTTTAGAAGGTAACGGGATTTCAGATGCTGAAGCTAACTTGATATTTTAAGAGGTTGCGCAATATTACCCACTGAAAGACAGATTAAAGCATGACTTCACTAAGAAAGCTCCAAATATAGCCGGATGCTGAGAGCCTCAAAGAAGAAATCAGAAATGAACATAGAAAAAGACCTGGGTCTCTTATCCAAGAAAAGAATAGAGTTGAATTTGATATCAAACCGTGTGGATTCTCTTTCGTTATTTTGCGAGATAGGTTCTGATTAATGTTTTACAATTTCATTACTAATATTGACTCACCCTTTCACTCCCAATATCTGTTTTTTAATTCTACCCTTTAGCTGCTATACATCTACCTATGTATTAGTTGCGAGAACTTAGTGTTCAATCAAGATAACAAAATTTTAACCGTTAAGTTTGAGTGCTCTCATTAGCTGCCTTCTGGATAAAGTTACTGAACTTACAGACATCCATTTCCAGAAACTAGCTAGAAAATTGACACCAGCACACCCGAGTCTTTTCTATCGGTATTTTAATTATCATTCACAGATTCACAGTGCTGTGGTCGCCAAGGAGCAAACTACAAGTCTATAGCAAATGCACCGTAAACGGCACTGTCAGCATCACTTTAACGAATCATAACCCTTTTTCGAGTCATTGACTTTTATCAAGACCTCTACTAAGTCCTTGAGTATTATGACTTTGTTTTCCTTTTTTTTACCGTAACTTAACACGTTTTCCAGGATAACCTGTTCGAGAAAGCGAATTGCGAATTTTCATCAACAATTTGAGAAAAGCCAGATGAATTGTGCCCTAGGAATCATGGAAATCTTCAAACATTTCCCATAAGGGCCGCTTAAAATGTACAACTGGTGGCCATAAGATGATACGATGTGCGGAGTGATATTTAGTGAAAACAGCGCATATTCCACACTCATATTTGACGTTACTTTCACCTCACTACTTCCACTAGAAAGGAGTGGAGCCTAATTCAAAGCATGAGCATGGTGTTAAATATCTCCTAACCTATTTACCTCTTTTCATTCTCTGAGGGTCCTTCGCCATTCACAAGAATTTGTCTGGCATAATATTCCATGTTCTATTACCATTTTTGACCAAGTTTATCGATCAGTCTTCAGTTTGGTGAAATCCAAGGCGCACAAATAATCCACACATTAGCTGTTCCCTACAAAAATTTTTCAACCGGATGTTGTTCAAGCAACTCAAACTTACTTAGCTGGTTTAGTTCGAAACCCAATAACTTGTCCCGATTAAGTCGTATACAAAAACAACAAGTCGTTGTAACAATCAAACCTGGATTAGTGCTGTGCGTGCTTCGCATTTTTTATCAAGCCCCAAAGGAAGGAATTGGCGATGACTGGCAGAAAGCTCCTGTGAGATCTTCATGGTTACTTGAAGTTTCACCAATAAAGACTATTCCTTATTTTATTGGGGAATCACAACATCTAATAGCTTTTCTTCATTTACATTTTCAAAGTAGAAAAGGTGACATAAAAATTCCCTGTAGTTTCTAGATGTGGGATAAGTTAAATCAAAAACACTATCCTCATGGAAAATGGGCACATGATTCTGAATATGACATTCAATAATGATCTTCTAGATAAGGTTAAGCTAGTCTAGCACATTTGTATTGTGTGATGCCTAAGTAACATGTATTATAAGACAGCTATTCCACAAAACGATTTTCCATTCTATTACTGCTGATTAGTTCCCATACTTTTTGCTAGCTGGCACAGTACCGGCGCGGTTTATTTGTTTTACACTGTTTATAAGGCACAGAAAGGAAAAAGTATGCCCCTTTTCATCTCTAATTCTGACAGTTTTTTTCCTCCATAGGTTAGTAATATATTTGAATCCGTCTTCATTGTAGCAGTCTTTCAATTGCAGCATTTAAGTCGCCGCCAGTTGCAACTAAAGCTGAAATGGAAACGCACACTAGTTACTTTTTGTAAAGAGGAATCCACAAATCTCCAGAAATGTGTGTAAGGTTATGTTTTTGGTTTAAGTATTCGCAATTCCCCAGTCACTTCTAACCTCCTTCTCTGACAATAGAGCAAACAGCAAAGTAAACTTAAGTAAAATTCAGCAACGTATCGCAAGGCAAAGCTCAGGTAGCAAGTTATTGCCTACTGAACAAAAGTCCACGCATCAAAGGTCTAACCTTGGATATTCCGAGCCCGGTCTACAAATCCCATCTGAGCCAACTGTTCCAGTTGCGCGCGGTAGGCGACCTCAGGATTTTGAGTCTGAAAACATAAGGGGTGATGTTTCATGACAATCAAACCATGACTTCTTTCATTACAATACAGTGCACAAGTTGTGGCATTTTTCGTTGATTTCCAACTTTCCTCTCCCCAATAAATTTCTATTGTTCTACCGGCCTTAAAGTTGTTGGCAAGGGAGGACGGCTTATAAATTGACTGAGACGTGTTCATTTTAACTAGACGCAGCGACCGAAATTAAAAAATAATGTTTTGTTGTCTCTTTCGCTACAAATCAGAGAATCAGCCAAAATGCGTGCCAAAAGTCATTTCAAGAATAATACCTGAGTCATTGCTTGCCGCATCATTTGGGACATGAACTGCGCCATAGGGTTTCCCTGAGGAACCCCTTCAGTGGTTCCCGGAGTACCTCCAGCATTTGGCCTTTGTGTCTCACCTTGTGTTCCTGGATATGCAGTGTATCAAACAAGACCAGTTTACAAGCAAAAGTAATTTAAAATAAATAAGTAAATGAAACAAATTAAATAAATACGTAAATAAATAAAGTGCAAAAAATATACACCACTACAATCTCACTGTAATGTACCAAAACCAATCCTTTAATTGAGTGGTTCTCAGTGAAAGGTATTCATAGAGTTCCACCGAAAAAAACATTCTACATGCTGTAGAGGAAGGTAGTTCATGGAGTAATGCGTTAATTGAGAGGGGTTACTAAAGTGACTTAAATGTCTAACCAGACTGGGCGAGAGGTACTCTCCAGAAACCATCATTAATCCTTAGTAATAACTAAGTAGTAACCCAGATAAAAATTGTACTGTAAGTGTAGCACGCTAAGGTAGGTAAGTGTTGAATTGTGAGCCAATCGTGTCATCCGTCTTTAAATGTGTGAACTTCGCTCTATATCAACTTGTTAACTTGGAAAAAAAATTGATGAGGCAAAGTTCCACCCAGATGGTGAGAAACACAACCAGAAGGAGTTGATTTAGTTATGGCAGAAGCACATCGCTCAAGACAATACAGTTTTTGTTGGAGGGAAAAAAAGGAGAAGTAACACTCTCATTAGGTTGCTGGACAAGGTTCTAAATGGCGGTGAGCAAAATGATTTTCACATACAGAATTCATCAAGGTTGGAAAGGTCTTTCCAACCTAAAAGCGCGTTCAGTGCCATAATTGTATATACCGTCTTATAGCTTAGACAAAACAATAAGGTGTTTAGAATATACCTCTTGCTTTTTAAAATAGTCTATCAAAAATTTAAAATTTGCATTGTTTAATGATTCAAAACCTTAGTCAAACAAACCTGATGTCTGCGATGTAGGTGTGGTCATGTTGTTGCCTGGAGAAGTGGTTGAACTTGTGCTCATTGCGGGAGAGGAGCCACCAGTAAGGCTAAAAATGAAAGAAACAGAGACTAAATTATCTCACCAGAAACTTCTTTGAGCTTTTGACGTTATGCCCTCAAAAAGGAACATTCATTTATGTCTTAAATGAATCTTCCACATCATTAAGACTCTTTATTTTTTAAAACAGAATTGGCCGATCTTCCGTTCGTTCACGTTTAATTCACCTGTCAGAACCATTTTCCACAGTGTTAGCGATAGAAAGATAGATCACCACAAAATGTGCAACATCCTTCCTTGTCATGAACTGGTTGAAATGGTCCAACTGGTTGAATTGCTTTAACTGGATAAAATGACCAACCGGTTGAAATGGTAGAAGTAGACGAAATGGTCCAACTGGTTGAAATGGGCGAATTGGCTAAAATGGTTTAACTGGTTAAAATGGTCCAACTGGATAAAATGGCAGACACTATCGAGACTGTGGGAAGGAAATTTCTTCCTGGCTCCATTCTCGTGTCCACTTCCTATTGTGAAGATCGTAGCTCTTCACAAAATGCTGACCCAAATCTGACGCCATTTCATAACATTCTTCTCCTACTGTGCAGTGTACTTTTTTTCCTGCCCAACGTGACACTAAAACGATTTTCCTCCATTCGCTAATGATGTAATGCATCAGCTGTTTCATGGTCTCGGGGTTTCGCAGAAATCTGTTCAACTGCTGCCCTGCTTTCTCTCCTGCAAGATTTTCTCATCTACATTACTGGCCAAAATCTTTTGATCACTGTTTAACTTCTGAACATTTGCCATACCATCGATAACGCGAGGCGACTGGGTTAGCATATTTTCAATCGATGAAGTACATTTCAGCAACTCTTTAGCGAAAGATGTTACTTGCATATAATGGTATGGTACCTCCTTCATGCTTAGTTGTCTTGCTTCTGTACAACTAAGGCATGGTCGGCTTCAGTTACAATCTTCTTCGATATAATATTAAAGTTTGACTTCCGGAGGGATTACTTCTGGCCTTTCCTAGCTAAAACATCGGTAGGCTCTTTCTCCAGGATCTTTGGTTTGTAACAGATCACAAGCAACATCCCTTGGCTCTGAAATGTCTCCACCAAGCTGTAGTGTTGACTGTAAAGAACTGTACATCTGTTTCACCTCTAGCAATTCTACTTTTTTAAGAGCACTGTGATCATTGATCCATTTGATTTCTGTAACACTAACGTAAAGTGCTTGACGCGATCAAAAACGACGTCGATGGTGTAAAGCTTGAGATCGTTCCAATCTTTAACGACTGACGATGTACTTCAAACATTGTAGACATGTCAGTAGCTAGTATAACTATTATTGGGAGATATCTGACACATTCCTTAGAGACTTGCACTTTATTTTGTACCACAACATTGAATCCAGTCCTCCTACTCATGTTGGCATTCTCTGTGCCATGTAGGCGCACCAAGATTCACAGAAGGGTCATCTTCAAAGCATTTGTCTTGATCTGTGTGGAGGTTACTTCCACATGTGTTCTGAATGGCAGTCATCAGGGGTATCCTGAGGTGAAAATGGGAATTCCTTGTCCTATATAACGTGAACATTTTGATGCTTTGACTTTGCAATGGTGGGCATCCCCTCAGGTGGAGTATAATCAGGACTGAACTGTTGAGCCTGTAGAGCGATTCCATTCAACAGATGAGATACTCCTTCGACTGAGAATCTCCTCAAAGCGACCAATATTTGCAAACTTTAATGACGTTTTAGAGGTTAATTGTGATTTCAGGCATTGTTGACAACTTCTAAATACAAACAGCTGTACTCAGTTCTCAGTTCTGTGACGCCCCGTGTCCACATGGATTTTAGATCTGAATAGACTCTACGTTATTGGTCAATGATTTGCGGGCTACAGTATGTGCTTTGGGCTACTGGGTCGTCCACAAGCCACTCCAAAAGCCAGGTCTTCTCCAAATGAGTTTAAACGTCACTATAACCTCCATGTTTCCGTTCAGCATCAGAGGAAGAAATTCCCTCGATTTTTCAGGTATTTGAAGTACAGTAAGCTCTCATTGCATTGGAGGCTGTGACAGGCCTTCATTGCAGGAAACAATGGACTCCTGGAGTTCTAGATAGATATCCTGCAAGTTGTGCTACCTCCTTCTTCAGCTGAATTCACGATGATTGTTTCAAGTAGAACTTCAATTTAGAACGTTGACTGAAATTCTGCTTTGTACTTTCAAGTTGTCTGGCGTCCTACTCTTGTTGTTTGATGACTTCGAGAACCTTTAAAACGCCGTGATTGTCTAACAAATTCGCTCTGATAAAATCTAAATTTCAAGATAAACCTTTATCTTGACGAGACTTTACTTCTTGTCCTCTAGTTAAATTGTGTAAGTCTTCCTGCCTTGGAAGAGTATAATTTCTACTACATCATGAAATATACCAGGCCTCGACTGGAACAAGCTCTCGAGACATTATCACAAAAATCCTACAGTCATGGCGTGCTATTACAATGTGTGTGTAAATGTGTTCATTCATGGCAGAATTCAGAGTAAACTGTTCCCTGAGTTCAGTTTAAATCGACTGCTTCACTTAAAAGCAAATGGTTTGGAACTGGTACAACCAGGAAAAGAATGAATTCATTTTGTTCAAAAGACTGAACTCAGGCGAACAAAATCCGATGGATCGAGTTTTGTTTTGTTTGGTTTGTTTGATTAAGTTTACTTGGTTCAGAAATGGAACTCACAGAAAAGGAGTTACTCAATTGACTAACTTAAGCATAGAGCGAGATTACAATATATATGGAAACGTTTGATTGCTCACTCCAGTATTACCCATTAATGTCATTAAAGTCATTGATAAGTTAAGCGTGGATATCAAATGAAAGGAGAAACAACCAAGGGAAATGCTGTAACACTCTGTTTCCAGCACCTGGTGTCATATATTGTTGAGTTTCAGATTTCCAGGTTCTCCTGTTTCCTCCATTCACAAAAATCGACTCTCGAAATTTACAATTTCCTTTTCGCAAAGGCAATTAATTTTGCAACTCTGGATGTTTTTTAAAAAGCTAACTGCAAATTATCCTATTGAGTGGTGTTGATCAAAAGCATTTTTATAGAGAAATAAAGATTGGCAGTTTAGTGGGACTTAAAACGGCGGCCAAAATACATTCCGTTTACGTCTCTGGGTTCAGAAGAACCCTCCATTTTGTTTTTGTTGAATTAGCAACGATTCCTCTGACACTCTAAATTTCGTTTTGATATTCTAACTAAGCAAATTTTTAAAGTATGCCTCAAAGGGGCTCCGCAGCCTGCTTAGCTCACCCCACTCCTGGTACTAGGCCTGGTGCCTCTGCTTGTAGCTGCATCATCCCCTGTTGTATTTGCATCAAGGCTTGCATCACTCTAGGGTTAGTCATGGCTTGCTGGAAATCCGGATTTTGCATCTGTTTAAATGCCAATGAAAGTCAGGTATTTCTGATAAGTGAATTGGTAGTAATAAAGGGTACACACTGCCTATGCCTAAGGCATAAAGAATTTTGAAGCGGTTTAGAAAACTGAAATAGAAATCATGATGATTTATCCTATAGCCTCCCAACTTTTTCCCTTCACATATTCGAATCATGGGAATTATTTTTATTGCCTATGAGGTTTTTGAAAATACATCAACATCAATGACAGTGTCAGCGTTTTCTAAAACAACTAAGCCACGGATGTTGAAGTTTCCGCGAGACAAAAAAACCATCTTTCACTAGGAGGCAATGTTCTCGAAGCATGGACATTTTGCAAAAGAAATAAATATGATTAAAGATCTCTTGGCAAGAATATTTTCCCGAAGATATTATTGAGTCCTTTCTATCTGGGGGTTTCATTGGGGTTTACCTAAGAGACAAAATCTCAGGGACAACTGATCTGATCCGATCCGATCTGATGAACTTAACTATCTTACCTGCTGCATAAATTCTGGAAGTCTTGATGCAACCTATAAAAATATAAAGTTTGTCATTCATGCAGTTTTCATCTTAAGTCACAATGTAGTTAAAATTTAAGGTTAAGTAGCCACCAAGAGAAGTCACCTTGCCACCAATGTTTGACTCAGACCATCATGCAAAACTGAGGCTAAAATTAGCCTCCTCAGCTTAAGCTTTTTTCACAAGCACTTTACACGAGTTTCTGACAGTAATGATCTTTCTTCAATTTTTTTATTTTGCAATTGAAAGATATAATCTCTACATACACCTTTTGATGCATCTGCACTACAAATTAGGATTAATAATGTTAAAAATTATTTAACCCTACGGTTAAGTCATGGGAAAATTTTCTAAGAGAGGGTTGAATCAGAGACTTCAGCGTGAAGGTTACAGCTTTTAACTGTGTTAACCTGTGTTAACTTGCACGCTAAGCGTGACATCGATCACGCTTGACCAAAACAAAGACCAAGCGTGCTAACTTGACTGAAGCAGAACATAGTGTATAATACATACGCACATTGGACACGCTAAGCGTGTTGTATTGGCGTGTTGTGAGCGTGTTACCTTTGTCCCCGAAATTACATGGAGGGTCACAATTGTGTGAAGGTTATATCCATGCATTAATGACTTTGTCAGATACAAAAAAAATCATGAACCTAAGGAGATTTATTTCCTCTGTAATCATGGACTGTTTCTAAAAAAATATAAATTGAAGGAATGAAATTTAATGCTCACTAATGACAGAACAAACTGCCTGGTGGGTGGTGATAACATGATGATACCCTCACAGGATAGCAAGTTAACCACAACACATTTTAAGTCCAAAAGTTTGTTTTCTTTTGTGGTTATATGATGTCAACAAAGCGAGCCAAACTTGTATCAGCTTGTGTAGAGGAAATCTTAAAAAATTAGGTTACACCACTCTACCTGATCTGCTAGCTGGCTATTTCCTTGAAACATTGGATTTGATCTAATCATCTACAAGACAGGAGGAAAAAACTGTAAGAAGAGGAACAATATATGAAACGTATGAACCTAGTAATGGCCTAAGTCACTGTAAAGTCTCTGTGGACCAGTGGCTCAGTGTAGGGTCATAGAATTTGAAGGTTGGAGGTTTGATTCCTCATCATAAAATAGATTTTTTTTCCTGCACAAGCCATTTAGTTTTCTGTCCACAAACCCACAACTCCTGGACACTAATTCTAATGTCTATGGTATAAAGAAGAACTTAACACTTGGACTCAAAATGGTTCTCAAAAATGGATCTAGCAGATTTCTATTTATCTGTTGGAGAAACAAGAAACAATAAACAAGAAACACACATTTCTCTTAGTCTATTTATTTTTTTGTAATTCAAGCAAAACAAAGGTTAAAACATAATTTCAGGTGGCTCAAAATGGTTGGGCTATTTCCAAACATTTACTCTTGAATGGGTAAACAATACCACTAATTTGTTTCTAGGAAATGGCATGAAAAGAAGCAAAATTGGTTCTCATGTAGTTGTGTCAAAACGTTTTGGAATATCTGATTACCATTGAAACACCACAGCCACTAGAAATACTCTTAATTTGTGCTTTCAGAAAATGTAATTCAAAAATGGCTTTGATCATCCCGTTTACTAATCACTATATCATGATCAATCTTTCTACAGTGCTGTAAAAAGACTTTCAGGGAAACAAAGGAAAAGCTAGAGTAGTACTGATCCTTAGAACAATAACTATTGTTGCTTGAGAAAAAATTGAAAGAAATTCAAGCCACCTTAACAACATCACAAACTTTAAAATCCAGAAAAGCTTCATTTGAAGTCAGCTTATTATTTTGTTTCAGCATTCAGTGAAATTAATTTACCATTCTTAAACTGCAAATCAATCCAGTTTTAAGTTGCATAAGTCATAAGAGTTACAGTGTAAAGTTAGAATGTGGTTCCAAAACATAACACTTAAAGTAAGGATAACATATACCAGTGCTGTACTGGGCCAAGACATTCTAAGAATAGAAAAAAAACCAACAAAACACTGAAAACAAAAAGCATAAAACCAAAAAATACACTTCCAAATAAATTCTCTTTGTCACTTTTGAAGAGATTCAAAAACCCCATTGAAACTATGATATCAGTAAATAATTGATTTAGTTGGTTTAGTTTGCATATCAACTTACAGAAGCCATGAGTTCAGGATTCTGTAGCATGCGTTCCATCATGTCATGCATGTAAGGACTCTGCATCATGTTTTGAAACAAGGCTGGGTTACTGGTCATTTGCTGCATCAAGGACTGCATGGCTGGTGTCTGGAACATGCTTGTCATGGTGTTTTCTTGTTGAGATGGGTTAGGGCTTGAATTGTTACCAACACTGAAAAAAAGCATGAGAGTAGAATCTTTTATAAATGTAATTATAACTGTTCTCTGTTTTCTACTTACCAGTTTTATTGTCATATATCTTTTACATATTGAGCTTCAGGTTACACTATCATTTCCCTATTCCCCTTTGATAATCAGTCTACTTGGTCCAAATAAAGTTTTTTGCAATTTCTTGAATGTATAAGATGCACATCATAACACTAAGAATTACCTGATTGAAATACTACATTGAGCACTACCAATCCAGCTGTTTATCAGTGACAAAGGCTTAGGCACTTCACAGATGTAAAATCAATTAATCCCTTTATCTTAGCTTTCTTGTGAATGAACATTAAAGTACATGCCATTGCAGAGTAAACATGAATACTTTCAAGACCAACCTGGACACAGGAGTAGTAGTAGCCATAGAAGCACTAGAAGGTGTAGATGTCTGAGGCACTAGTGGTTGACTTGGTTGAGGTGTAGCAGACCATGGGTTTGGAAGAGGAGAGGTGTTTTCTGTTCCTTGTTGAGGGTTTGAAGATTGATTTGATGTAACACCAGAGGCTACAGTATCAAGAATAAAAACTGCTAATTAGAGATAAATGGTGTTTCACAGATCATGACACCCTAGTGATGGAAGTTATGGTCTGTTTATAGATAGGAGTATCGCATGGCTGAGAGAAGCTATTTCTTGTAATAATTGAGGTGGTAATGTTTGAAGGGTCATGAAGTTTGAAAGGTCTTTTTTCTTATGATTTGTTGAAAACTATATGCTACTTATGGTGGTTGTTACCTGATGTTCCACCAAATAATGCTGCAAACGGATTATTCTGTGCACGCTGTAACTACAAACAGTTGTTGATCAGTTTACATTCATACCCATACATGTACTTATAATCTAACCTTACAAGTTCATCGCAACTGTTCCATCTGAAATGTAATGAAATGTAATTTACACTTCAACATGCCCTTGGGATCCACTTGAAAATAACTTTACCTGAGTTTAAGGTAGAACAGCAACTAAAATTAAGTGGAAGCAATAGAAACCTCAGCAATTATCTTTTTATATGAAACTTTTAACTTTGAATGAACTGAAGTAGTACAAACCTGTTTTAATCTCCTACATGTTTTGTCTGACTATAGCAGACTTCATCAGAAGTTTCTTTAACAAGATGGGTATATAAGTGTGCTCACATACAAATAGTGAAGATTTTCCATTTTCAACCTTTATGCACAGTGTGGTGGAAGCATAAAGTACTTGCAAGTTGTGATTACTGTGCTGTATATGCATGACATTATGCGTACGAGTAACTGATCTTTTTGGGGATCAAAGATTTACTAACAACACAAATGCCCCGACAGTCAAAAGAAGTTTTTTTTCTTTTTGGTTTAGAAGTCTTACTTTGTCTTCTATGATATCCATAGGGGGATAACAGAAGACAAAACTTCTCTGTCATACTCTCATAGACAGTTTATCAATAATTAAGTTATTTGGGGGGCAAATGCATTCCTTGCTTCAATATTTTAAGTTGGAATAAAAGTGCATCTCTGGAGACTATTCAGCATTTATAGTAAAGTTCAGATATAACGCACACTGTCATTGGTTGATAGATCATGCTCTGTGAGAGTATAGTTGTAGAGTAAATTGTACTATGTTTGACATGATCATGCTGAGGTCCATCATGGCTGGCTCATCATGACAATCTCTGGTCATCATAGTGAACCAAGTCTCAGAAATTAAATTAGCCACCCTTCCAATAAACAACTAAGAGCTTGCTCTGATGTCCTTTCCAATGCCTTGAGTGGAAGGTCAAATCAATCACTGCAGCCAAAGTCATCCCGAGCAATCTTCAAGTTCTGGCGAATTTTGGCTGTTGTTCATTCATAAAACACTCATCTTGAGAAGTTTGTTTTCTAATTATCATATGAAAAAACTTGTGTTTTTATGAGCCACAATCTGGCCGGATTTCACTGAACATTTCACTTTCAGATTCTGTATTAGAAAAACTAATATAATAATATTTTATAAACTAAAACTCTTCAAGCAAAAGTGTTAAATTCTACCTGCTGAACTATTTCAGTTTGTAAACTATTGCAGAATGTGAACTTTGATGGTTTTGAACTTTAATGGTTTAACATTTTTGACAGCTGTAGTCTTGTGCAGCCAATCAGATTATTTGAACCATTCTAACAGGGATTCTGATTGGCTTATTGTAGTGTGCTTTATGAGTATAGAGCATGCTGACGACACTAGTGTTCACTTTTGTTTAGAAAATTGAAAGTAATGTGTGGGAATTTAATGGATTTTTTATCATAAAACAAATACAGAAGTCTTGACTGTGCTCTGTTCTGTTATAAAGCATGCAGGAAGTGGCTAGAGCACGAAAGATTGAAGAGAGAAACACAAGACTTAGTTGAGCGTTTCTTTCCACTTCTTGAGTGCTCTAACCACCTTCTAACTGCTTTACAACAGAACAGAGCACAGTCAAAGCTTCTTTATTTGCTAATTATCATCTTTAAACAAGAAATATAAAGTTTAACTATCTTTCTCAAAATGTTTCATTATGTCACATGAGAATAAGTTTCTTCCAAGGTTTACAAAGAAAGCCCTTTGAAGTATATGGTCTCAACTAAAATTTCTTTTAAACATACCTAGATGACATTAAGAGGTCAAAAGTTGCATGTTGTCTACTGGGGGAACATTGGGTGAGATCCCAAAGAAAAGCTATGAAGTTATTGTAGCCGCAAGAAATGCCTTTACCGAAGCCACTGAGGATGTAACCTTCAGTTTTTCTTTGAGCATTTTGGTTTCTTCCTTTTCTAAGAAATTTTGAATGTCACTGTCTTTAAGCAAAATGAATTTTTCAGTGTTTAACCAGCCATAATCTGAGAAATTTTGACAAACAACCTTGGGTTGAAAATGGTGAAGGCTACCCCTTTCATTCATTAATATGACAGAGTGGCTCAAAAGGTGAGTGACATCTCAGCAGCTGATTTGCCATATCAAACACACAAGAAAAATTATCACATTTTCATGTGTGTTGTTGTTTTTTCTCAGGGAAATCCTTATATAACACTGCAGTTTATATGATAATGTATTCTTAGTGCGAGTTCATGAAGCCACATACCTAATTGGGCCCTATTGCATGGGCTCAGTTAGTTTGGAACCTGCATCAGAACTCAACTCTAGAAACTACTTTTTGTTAACCCATAGTACACATCATCTTCTAAAGTGAGTGAGTGTAATGCTCTATTCTTAAAAATGAATTGTAGGTCAAAATGAGTCACATCAGTTGGATGAGAATGTTATAAGCTTTTTTCCTGCGTTCTAATCTGTTACTTTCTAATTGGTAAATAAGTAATCAGTCAACAAGCAGTGGTGAGAAGATCACCAAGTGAGGTCCATACTTTACCTGTTCTTGTGTAGCATTTAGCATAGGCTCTTGTATGTCTGTATACATTCGTTGCAGAGCATTAAAACCTCCTGGTAAACTCTGTCAGTAAACAAAATGAGGAAAATCTCACCTCAGAACCTCCATGTGACACAAAAGAATAACCGTATAAAAAGAGAGTAAAACTTTTTTAAAATCCATGTAGGTGTGACTTCCTTGAGGTACTGTGTAACTCTCATTGTGGAATCACACTAGCACATAAACAACAACTTATTGAATAGTGCTAAGCCATTTGCATGCATCACAAAAATACAAAAAAAATAAACACTTCTCTTATCCTAAAAATGATGTTTGCTGTTATATATTTATCACATATAACATTTAAATGAGCATTTTAAATGCATGTGTGTGTCTGCCTATTTCATTAACTAACTATATTCAGCTATGTGTGGGGATGCTATAGAATATGTGTTTATGGGTCTATGTGTTTATTTATATCTTTTGAAAATCCCAGATGTTAAGGATATGAATTTAAAAGTTCTTGCTTTTTAGAGTGCTTAATCATAGGGCTGAAATCTCTCTTTCATTTAGTTTGTTTAGGGAATTTGAGCTTGGTCTCATCCTATCCAATAAATAATTATTATATAACTTGAAATCATCCTGAGTGAGAGGTATGAGAGCTATTACTATTGATATTGTATCATTATCACAATCACTATTATTATTATTGTTATTATTAATTACTATTATAATTATCATCATCAATATTGTTATAATTCATTACTACAGGTTTTATTTTGAGTGATTACAGCCAAAATCTATCATACACCACCTCTAAGTTGCTTAGTGCCCTATCATGTGTCCTCATCATCTCCTGCATCACAGAAGGGTTTCGCACCATCTCCATTGTCTGTAGGTAAAGTAATGTAAGTTTTGTTTATCATTTTACCTAAGGATGAGCTCCATGTATGAGGGATTAAACAGCATGTAAAGTTTATCCTCGTAATTGTACATAATTTGCATTCTGATAAAAAGGCTAGAATGCAAATTGATACTTTTACTTAATCACTTCACTAACTCAGCCTTAATTCCCTGATTTGTTTCACTTTCAATAGAGCTTACATCAACCCTGTAAGTACTTATCTTAAAGAAAAATGGCCCAAAGTGATTCACAAAAAGAGGTCTTGCAGACGGCTTGGGAAGGCTAAAAAACTTTGCTTCTTGCAAGGCAACTGTATTATGTAGCATCTTATCATTGGTGAGAGCCTTTTAACAAAATCAAGCATTCATGTAATGGGACATGAACAATGATTCCATAGAATTAAATTGTTCCATTACATGCTTTGGACCAAAGCAAGCAAAATTGATTAAAAAGTAAGATAAAATCCATTAATCCTTTCTTTCACTGTAATCGCAGGCACTGAAGCTGCTATAGTGTATATTTCAAACAACCTGTCACTACCCTTGATTTCAACTTGGAAATTCCTTCCCTTTGAGTACAGAATGCCGAAACCAACAATGGAACACCAGCAATAAACTTCTAATGCATGTGTGTGCTGTGATTTGTATGAAGTTCTCTATAACTCAATAGCTCACAGTTGTGAGGTTAGTGATATCCCTCTCCTTGATGTCATGCAGTGTATCCTTTCATAGCTACCTCTTCTGTTTCTTTTTCAACAACTTTTCTTCTCACTAAAACTATTTTAATTAAAATTACAACTTTCTCAAAAATTAGAGCTTGAGTAAAATTTTCTTTGAATTACCTGTCTCATCAAATCTGGGTTGTTTAAAATGTGAGAGATTTCAGGATTCCTCTGTTTGGAAGAAACAAGAGATGAATAAATTTAATTTTTCAATTCAGGATTTTAGGTGTTTCATCCTTTCTACAATGGAGCCTTTCCACTCATGTGACAAGCTATCTTGTTTTCCATTAAAACAAAAGAAAGAATTTGTATAAAAAAAGAATCAAACTCCTGTAGGACTAATTTGGAACACCAATGTGGCCAACGTTTCATTGTTTAGCAACACCACTGTGACTGTCATAACATCATGTGAAAACACTCCACAGTTTGAAATTGACAAAAATTAGTCTCTATAGTGATGTAGATAATTGCTGGAAGTCCAAGAGACTTCCCAGCTATTAAAAACTGTCTTCCTTCATACACACAGGGATGATTTATTCAGTCAGGAGGAGCTTTGTCAATGTCACATTGACTTTGCTATCTCTTGCTGTAAAATGTTGGTCCAATCCAAAACACTCAAAATATTTAAAAATTGATGCCCAACTCTTCAATGAAAGGACTAATCCCAGCAGGTCTAATAATGTTTCGAATTGAGATAATGAGTAAGTTGCAGATTTACAAGTGACTGAATTTTATGTTTTAAACAGCAGTGTCTTTTCCATGTTATTTTTTCCCAATAAAAATAAAATGTTTTACAAAATATTTTGCACTTTTTCCGTTTTATGTTGAAATCTTATGGAGAACTGGATGCACAACTTGTCATTTTAATCCCATGAAACTTGATCTTAGAGCATTAGAGTTATGACTTTTAAAAGTTAAATGTCATTTTCACATAAAATTAATTCTCTATTACCTCAATAATTTGTTGCATTTGTGGGTTACTTAGAATCATCTGCCTAATAAGATCAGGATTTGACATCATGCTCTGTAACAAGAGAGGAAGAAAATTGTCAACATAAACAATTTAAGAGGAGTGACTAGCAAAATTTCATGACATTAATACACAAATGACTCATCTAAATGCCAAATTTGATGTAATAATTCAGAGTAATGGAGGGTTTTCCTTTACTTGAAATCAGTTATTTTTGTGGGTGCCAAGTGACCACAAGATGGAAAACATTTGTCATGGAAGTGTTCCATTGGTGAGATTTTTGGGGAGGCAGGAAAGTTTTTAAAACTTGATGTTTTAAAGATACTTCTTTGCTGTAAACATACTTCAACTCAAGAAATATCACCCAATCGTAGAGTGAAGCTAGCAATAATATCAAAACTAGACTTTGAATGAATACTCCTTTGCAGTCCTTGTTGAAAAACACAATTGAAGATTTTTGGAACACAAACCAAATTTAGATGGAGCAAAGTACCAGAAAATTCTTATGTACAATGCAATATTCCATGGAATTTAGTTAATACTGCAAGAGATGCATTATCCCCACAATAATACTGTTAAAGAAGGCCATGGAAAATTAACAATTGTAGTAATGTTACTGGAGTGTAAAAGTAGGTGGTGGGTTCAACTATTATTCATTAGCTGACAAAGCAAACAACAACATCATTAAATGTGATTGCTTAAGCTTTGATTACGCAAAACTCCACCCTGAGTTGGGCTTGAAAGAAAACTAAACTATTCAACAAAACCAACAACTGCAAAATTAAAATAAAAGGAAATTCCAGGAAAAAAAATTAAAATAATGAACAAGTGCAGTCATAGGTGTCCATGTCAACATAGTCAAATATGTGCTCCATATGCCATCAACTGTGATTATTTTGCAAGCATTAATTAGGTAACAAGAAGGACAAATTTTAGAACTCTAAGAGAAGGTAGGTCATTGAAAAAATTGTTATTCCCTAATGTAGAAGCTGAGAATACTAGGGGTACTGAATGTTTTCTGTGCCACCTTGCTGCTGCAAGATATCAGACAAAATGTTTGCAATTTAGCTGCATTACCTGTACCATTGGGTTGTCCATCATTTGTCTTAGCATCTCTGGGTTGGACATGAGCTGATGTAATAAAAAAAAAGATTTTTGAAACAGGTATCAAAGTGGTTATAGCATGATTAAAAGAAAACAATCACCTTGGTTCACAGACGTAAATACACAAACAGTACTTAGAAATGCCATAATAATAATAACAATAATATTAATAATAATAATAATAATAATAGTATTTAACGAGGGAGCCCAACTCACCACAGCGGTTTTCAGTGGGGCCCTCATTAACCATTTTATTAAATACTTAATATGAAAATTATGCTATAACAAAGGAAAAGTATCCTGCAAAAAACCATTATTTTAAATAAAGTTTATCTCTATATGAAAAAACTCAAACTCAAAATTGAGAGGAGAGTGTGATGTTTCAACAAGATCGCCAGAAGGGTTGCTAACTAACTGAAAAACATTGTTTATACTTGTTCCTGAGGTTATGGTTGTGTTTATCACCTTAAATACTCTGATAAATAAATAAAATAAATACTCTGTACTTATTGACTAAGTGGGAGGGCCAGACAGGAAAATATTTGGTGGAAGGTCATGAAGTATGTGCCTATGTGCATCTTCAAAGAGAGGCAAATATTTTCCTGTCTAACCTGATCTAACTCAGCATTTATCATATAACCACAGAATCTGAAATAAGTTTTGAAAAACGTGACAAGTTTGTTCTCACTTAAATGGGAGACAATCAACTGGCACACCCATAAAAACCACAAAAAAGATTCTATAACAAAAATTTTTCCTTTATTGTTTCGAGTCAGACCATGAAAATTACAATTTATTGAAAAACAGGAGTTATTTCCTTGTTAATCTTTAATGCTGTTGCTAATTTTTTGTAACAACAGAAAAAAGGTTTCTTTTTATTTCCAAAAAAAGCAGTTCAAATGCAATAGGGCTAGACATTGTCTTCTGGACTAGCTCACATCAACCTGTCTGGCCCTACAAATGTCAGCCTTCATGATGGTTTTATATCAGAGTGCACAAGTAGGGTTGGACAGGTCATGTGACAGTGACCTTTACTTTGTAGAAATAGAGTGTTGACTGTATTGTGTCTACCTCAGACTTACCTGTTGTGACATTTGGTGGATGTTGCCTGAAAAATAATATATTATAATCAATTTTGAAAAAAATGGTCACAAAACATTAATCATAATCTTAAATTTGCAGTATGAGTCAAAGCTGCAATTTTTTTTTGTTGAAAGCAAATCTGAGAATGTGTGAAAATGTACCTAACTGTTTATCTATTAACTGCCTAAAAACCAACACATAGTTACAGGATGGTTGAAGGCATGCTAAGTTTTCTATCCTTATGTCTCGACATTCTTACAGCCTGGTTACTTAAGATAGTAAAGGGAAAAAAAACCAACCAAATGTAAAACCAACATTTAAGTTAAACATCTTCAAAAAAAAAACAACAACAACAAATATTTAAAAGCATCAAGCTTAACAGAGAAGTAAAAAGAAACAGTCTGAAAATCATACAGCTGGGCATAAAAGACAGCTAGGGCATAAAAAATACCTGAGTTTCCAAGCATGTCAAATCCTCCTATTCCATCTAACCCAGACTGAAATGAAGGAACTGATTGGGACGTCGGGTTGCTTGCAGGTGAAGTTACAGGTGTACTTGATGGAGACTGAATATCACATTTGGTACATAAAAATTAGTCATCCCATCACTCAAATATGTACAGTTAGGGGATACACTGTAAACTGTTGGGTACTTGGTTTTCACATTTTCAAAAAAAACCTCATAATAATACATTTTCATGCACAATCTCACTTAAGTTCAGTTGATACATGTAGGCTCAGTTCCCATTCTAAAGGGTGTATAGCTGGCAAAAAGTCTACAGGGTATTTAAGACCAAAATTACATGTACATTGAAAGTTCATTACTTGAGCACTGCCTTGACCACTCCTTATCAGCCCAAAAATAACTCCTACTCCAACATAACCCTTAAGCTGTGTACAGGTTTGATCTAATGCTTAGCCCGTTTATTTGCAGATAGTAACCTATTGGAATTTTTATTAATGCCAGGGATACATCATGATCAATAAATTTCTAGTTCAATGTATTTTTAATTAGCAACCAAGGTTTGTATGTTTAACCAACTCGCATTTGTACTTTTAAGCTCTGAGGGCCTTAAGAAACTTGGTGAATATTGGTATTCTTAGTTCACAAAATCATAATATACAGCCCAACAATTGAGCATTTTCACTGAAATGTTGTGTATTGTTGTTCTTTTGGCTGCAAACAATGAATTCTGGTGACTTGAAGGTTTATAATTCTAAATGGGACTTTTGCCTTCTGAGTATTTACTGTTTCCACTGTCTACTCCCCATTTTAGTTTCTAGCTGACACTTGCTAGTGCCTTTTTAAACAAAGAAGTTCTTGCATCCTCTAGGTCACAAGCTAAATCATATCCAGAATAAGAAAGGTGTACCTGTTGTTGACCACTGGCATGTTGGGCAGCCTGTTGCTGTGCCTAATATAAGGAAAGGAGGTAAGTTTAAATATATGTTCTTGTAGGTCTGGCTCATCATCAGATTGGAAGATGGACCAGTACTGGAATATAACGATGATGTTTAAGTACAGTTTGAGGGCCATATCCAAAATTTTAAAAGTAAAATTGTAAATTACGGCTTTCTCTCAAGTGGAACAACATGTCAATTTCATCCCTTAGCAGACTGAAATTTTGTTACAACTGTTATCTTGATATAAATGAGAATACCTTAACATCTGTAAACAAATAATCTCAAAGTCAAGAAAACATAACTTTTTATAATAATAATATAATAATATAATATAATATCTGTTATATATAACATGCTTTTGGATACTGAGGATAAATTGATATCCAATATACTTATAACAACCTTTCTATTTTTCTTTCTAGTTTACCCTGGCTTCAACTCAAGAATATTCTCCCATTCAAAGTGCTTTTTAGTCCAAATAGTACCTGAGGTCTCTTTTTTGGAATTATCACATGTGGGGCAAAATCATTGAATGCTGATTGGCTTAGACAGAGGGTACTTTTTCTTAATCACACAGGCACTTTAGTAATCAAGAGGGCATGATGAGCCTTTTTGCTGTCTGTAGCAACAATTTATTGATTGCAATTTATCAAATGAAGCCATGTAACTTTGTTAACTGTATTTTAAAAATAAAATGTTCATTGAATCTACTGATCAGTTACATTTGTTCTAACATTTGTGGCTGCATTGAAAAGTGTCATCACACAGACATTGAGAGCAAATGCAATTCACTCAAAAATTTTACCCTTTACATGACAAACAAGTGATTGCAAGTGCCCTTGGGCAATTAAGGATTAATTTCACTTGTATTTTCTGAGTTTTCCCAAAAATTCCCAAGTTGCCTTGCAACTTAGGCACTTTTGGGAAAACTTTAAAAATTATTGTGAAATTAATCCTTAATTGCCCAAGGGCTTGTGAAATTACATATACAAATTACCAACAGCAATTTACAATCAAGATTCCATTTGAGATTGACAAGATTCTTACAGTCTCATCCTGAAACTATCATTACTCACGCATCAAGGTTTCAGGTTTAAACTGTTGACTTTTAGATAGCAAACTGCTGCTTTAGTTAATTTCCTAAAAAAAAAAATTATCCCACTAGATATAATTTACTCCTTGTTCCCTTCCTACCTGCTTCAAACACTTTCCAATGATGGAAATTTTCATTCTGATTAAAGGAGTGCATGTCTTAGCTACTTAATTTTTTTCATAATTTTTCAGTGGAATACGGCCCCATACCCCCCTCACCCCCTAAAGGTGATACCCACCCTGTCACAATCCAAGGCAGTGCAGCAAAATATATCACTCTTTGCTAGCAAATCGACTTAAGAGCTCTGAGTTTTCCATCATTAGTTTTCTACTAATGGTGAACAGTTTCTGAACAGTTTCTTTGATTAAATCAAAGATCATACCAATAAAGACGTACCAAGGAGGATACTTCAATCTATACAACATGCCACAAATTTGGAAACGTTTTCACCAAACAAACAGCGAATTGAATAAAAAATGGCTTACATAACAGAAAGATCTAAAGATGATCACACTTTCTTGCCAAAAAGCAATTACTTTAAAGTCAAAGGCTGATTTGATCAATCCAGATGAAATATTTTACTTTCTGATTACACAACTACTTATTGCAATATCTCAAACGGTTATAAAATAATACGAACTTTCCAGAGGGTAAAACAATGATTCAACTAACCCTGTTATCCGACTTGATAACAAGATGAACCGTAAAGCCGTCTTTTATTGCTACAAATTAAATAAAAACCAGAAAGTTAGAACATTGAAATCCCTCACACTGATTCGAACATATAATTTGTCAACGATGAAATGAAAAGACTCACAATAAGAAGCCAGTGTATCCCCATCTTTCAAAATTCGACCGGCGAAAATAAGACACAACTGATGTACTGGAGCATTGAATTTGATGGAGACCAGTTCTTTGAACTAGAAAAAAAGCAAGAAGATTATCAAAAATACTTTGAATTAAGTTATCAATTGCAAGATATTACCTTCAGTATAGTTGCAGTTGCCTCTGTTTCAATGGTTTCTTTGTTCTTTGAAGTTTTTACAACAACATTTATTTTCCCATTTTCTCCTTCCCTGTCGTCAGCCATGATGAACTTTAGGTTTTTCAAAACGCAACTAGTACCCAGGCTTCGTCTGTGTAATTGAGACGGAGAAGAAACTGATCAAGATGGCACTGATGTTTCAAGCAACTTTAAGGTACTTTTCGGCACTTTTTAGCTTTTAACCTACTCAGCTTAAGTTAGGGGTATAAGTTAACTATAAAAAGGTTATACCTCTATATGAAGCTCACATCGTTTTTAGCTTTGTTGCACCATGTCACTTCGCTCATCTTACGTTTACTAAAGTCGTTGATTACATGGGTAAACCCGTGATAGGTGAATGCTCTCGCAAAGTCGCAGGGCCCTTTTTAGTTTGGCAGCGTTTGTACTACCGTGGGAATTTCTTGTTGAAAGCAAGCCACTGCACAAGATATGTTCAGGGGACCCTAAACAACCAAAAAGTCGTGTTGCCAGTGAACGCTTTTTAGAGGTTGTTTCAGAAATTCCCTTGTGGATCTTGCATGAAAACGAGGCTAATTCATGAAACATCTTTTATTTTCGTTTATTATAGGAAAATAGCACCAAAATAAAACCAAAGATATAAATCTATGATCTTGTTGAAGTCTCAAACACATATTTAGTAACTGTGAGTCACAAGATTTGTCACATGACTTAATGAGCATGGAAGTGAGGCTGGGCTACAAAAATTTCTTTTGACCTTCCTATGATGTTTAAAATACTTTGCTATTCTTAAACAGCATAGATGTTAATTTTAAGTTCAGGTTCAGAAATTCAGGGGGAATGAAGGGGGAAATCCATCGTTACCAATAGAGTATAAAGGGGAGCCTGTAGATAATTGACTGCCAATTAACTGCCAACGAGGGAGGGATAACTTAATCACAGAGCTTCTTGAGGGATCAGGTAAATTATCATGATGCAGCAAAAATCAGACAAACCCCCACCTCTTCCCCCTGCCCTTTTCCCTTGGAGAAAGTCAATCTCTTGGACCTTATGTAGAAATAGAAGCTTTCCACTTGGAAGACTGCCGGCAGAAATATCAAATTAGGGGTTGAAAACAACATTGTGGCACTGCACAAGAACATGAACCTCTTCGCAAGAATGATAATCATATTCAAGATTTGGCCAGAGATTGATACTAAGAAGTTGTTGGTACTTACGAGTTTTCCTTGTTGCCAAGATCAATGTTTGCAGCTAATGGAACATTACTTCGCTGCTCATGTAAGAGTGCCCTATTTGGTATTTTAGTGAAACTACGCATGAACCTAAATGAAGACAACAACAGTGCTGTCAACCAAAGTACACAAGTACACACCAGAGTTACTGTGGTGGATGCAGCTAAATTACTTTGTTAGTCACATTTTCAAGACCTTCAGTGAAAATAAGGGAGTCCGGTTGGTTTTTGGCCGATATAGTCTGCCATCTTCTCTAAAAAGAGATACATGGACAAAGGCGCAAAAAGGCAAAGAAGCACAGAAGACCATCAAGGCTGGCCAGCAAAACAGGGGATGAGTAGTTGTAGTAGGAGGCCAGAATGCATGGGAACAAGAGAAGATTTTCTTAGCTCCAAAGCAAACAAGAGGGGGTAGATGCAGAGATTATTTTACATGCCATGGATGCTACAGCCAGAGTTACGACATTCTCTCTTATAGGTACTTGTTTGGCATACTCTGGAAATATCACAATTGTAAAGTGTCTTGATACAAAAAAAGCCATATTTGGGCGAACATTTTGTATTCAACTGCCAAAAATAGTTACAGTTGCCACATGGCTGCCATGTATGTGGCAAAAAAAACAAGGAATTTTCTCAATTTTTAGGGCCCATGATTGATCAAAAGAAAACAAAAACTGATGATAGGACTCTACATTTGTCAACTTGAATGGAATGGTTCTCAAATAAATGGATGTCACCTTTCATGTTGTGGAAGATTTAATAATTTCAGGCATAAAACAGTTGAAATGCAAAAGGGGAAAGTGCACTGGGGTGAAAAACCATGTTTCTACTTCTACTAATTGTGTTCCAAATCCTACTGTAAAATAATAAATCTCTGTCCAGATGAAAGCAATCAAGCAATTCCAGGGACAAATGACCACACCCTTTTCTTCCTGAATTCCACACAATCCTCCTTCTCACCACCCCCCCAAAAAAAATTACTTTGAGGTGTGACTTCACTTCACTTCTACATTCATAAAAAACCAGATTCACTGCTTCACTTGAAGTGAAGCTAAAGTTTATTTTTATTTTCAATTTTACTTTGTATTAAAAACTTAAAATAAAATGATTCACATCACCAAATTTCTTTAAATATCTTTTTTCCACAGGTTAAAGAAAGCAGTTGAACTAATAAATGGCTTAGACACTGCCAAGTTTCGTCTTTTGCTTAGCAGAATTGTACAAAAGCTTCATTTGAGGGTCAGTGTCTCAACTTGACATGCATGTGTTTAGTTGAGAGCAACAGTTTATTAAAATTGTTGAGGACTACAGCTTGATTATCATAACCCTGTTTTTTAATTTATTAATTTTATTTTTTAGTTGATGATGACAACACTTGACCTTTGCCTTTTCATTCTAAAATTCTATTTCGCTGGCATTTATGTAATGTTTTGCCCTTGGCTGCAAGTATGTATCCCACTCGCTGCAACAGTATGAATTAAAACAAATATCCATACTCATCCTGGATGGTGTTTTCCTTTCAAAGAAGTGCCCATCATTTATTTTTTTTTAGAGTTCAGTGGTACGCATTTTGCATGTTGTATACTGCTGGATGAAGACAGGGATTGTGATAATTAAGTGTTGTGACCAAGAACTTTGCATAATTATCCTGGCCAAAGCTTTTTTCCACTTCACCTATAGTACTACTTGCATGTTCTGTAACAGCACCCATGCCAATCAAGCTTACGTAATAAATATGAATTACATCTGCTTGGGAGTTTGTGTTAATGAGCTTGCAGTAGAAAAGTTACACATGTGCACACCCAAAGGTGTGTATTTCAATTTGTCTTTTGTTATTCACAGTGGGAATTTGTGTGTAGTTTTTCACAAAAATGCTATGACTGGGGCAATTTGTATTTAAATTGATGTGCTGTTTCTTAAATAATGGAAAAATGCAAAGTTGATCATAACTTGCTCCCTTATGTGAATGAGCCTTACTGCATGAAAAGTTCTTTGGCATTGTAATCAGAGAAGAGTAATTGCTTTCTTCATTGACATAATTTGAGTGCTGGGAAGTTAGTTGGATGAAGCAGAACAAATTTAATGTAGCTTGTCAAAAAACTTAAGTGACTTGCACTATTATCTCAAGAACACCAACTACTGTTATGGAAATGCATGAAGGAGCAGGAAGTAGAGCGTTATAAATCAATCCAGGTCATGGCAGACATTCCATGGTTGAAGTTCACAGCAAGGCACCATTTGATCTGCACCAGATGCATAACATTATTTCCTGTAGCCAACATCAATTGTCTTAGAGCCATGCACAAATACTTAAGGTGATTCTTCAGAAAATAAAGTTATTGAACATTTTTTCAAACTGTAGTCCTTAAATGTTCCCCACCAGTGTTCATTTCAAAGAATACAATAAAAAAGATAGGTCACCATGCTTGTTTAAGAGTTGTGATGGGCCGAACTTATCCTAATTATGCTGATACCAGTGCTAATTACATGTACATACATCATTTCATGGCTTCACTGAGCATTTTGTGGAAGTTGGAAGCAAGGGATTTTAAAGTAACACTTGAAACAAACTTGATTGGTATAAATTCTTGAGAGTATAGAATAATTTGATGTATTCTAAATAGAAAAATTATGCAATTTTAAATGACATTGACTTAAACTGTTTCTTGAGTCACTGCTCTCAAGGTCATGATATGCATCCTTGAGTAATAGGCTTCATGCAGGCTTTTTAGGTATATCTTATTTCCCCTTTGATGATTTTTTTTTATTTCTCTCATTTAAATGGGATATTTTGTTCGCCAAAATTATGAAATAAGAAATGTAGGTCACCATGCCCATTCAAGAGCTAAAGACCAACATACCTCTTTACTTGGTCCAGGGATTGAAAAACTACCCTGTTCTTGGAATATGCGTGTGCTCATTCCCCTGATTATGTGATTTTTATGCGCACAGGATGCGCAGTGCAAAACTGAGGAATCACCTTAAGGCAGCCAAGTTCTCAAAAGAGGGCAACATAAACAGTACTTCTCTTGTGTTCACTTTGTGAGTCTTTCATTCGATTGATTGTCAATGATTTTAATCAAACCTTGTCCTGTTTTGTTAATTGAGGAATATCTGGAGTCATTTTTATGCATTCTGAAATTGCGCTTTAGTTAGCAAACATTAAGGAATAATTGGATGATGTTCAAGGCAAAAAATTATGGAGGCAGAACAAATTGATTTTTTCCTTAAAGCAATTATGATTGTGTTTTCAATGTAGGAGTCAGTGGAGCACTTCATAATTTGTTTGTTCTTACTTCCAAAACTTCATTCAGTGTTCAATAATTCTACTTTTGAGACCAGAAAAAAGCTATTGGAAGAAAAGCTGAGGTTGTGCAAGGTAATCGTTTTTTATTCTTAAAACAAATTTTCAATTCACAAGAAAACAAAGTAAGTGTTGTGACTTGCTCAAGCTTGTTGGAAATATAACAAAGAATTGTGAATCCAATCTTTGTTTCCTATTACACATACATTTTCTTGCATTCAATGAGCTCTAATTAACTGGCATGCATTTTTTATTACACCAAGTTGCATTAGCATGTTGCAGGCATGCAGTCCCATGAATGTGTGTGTGTGTGTGTGTGAAGGGTGTTTCCAGCTGTGGTACATGCAAGTGGTACTATACTTCAGACCTCTACATTCATATGATAGTCATGACTAAGAAATTTTGAACTCCTGGCAGGAAAGGTCTACTGTTTAATGAAATGGCCTCATTTAGCTACTTACCATGCAGAATTTAGCCATAGGCAACCCATTAAGGGTCTGGTGTTTGTGCTAAGTTATACCCATGTTTTCTTGTAACTGGTCTTTATTTGTCAAAAAGAACTTTTGGCCAAATCTAACACAAATTCTTATGTAATGATAGGTGTAAGCCTTATAAAAAATATTCTATTTCAATCTTAGGATGAAAGAGCATTTTCAGAGGAGGAGGAAATTAAGCTTCAAGGTGCTTTGGAACTGGAGGCAAATGATCTTCATGTGGTTTTGGAAACTGCAGCCTTTATCCTTGAACAGGTAACCTAGATATATTTTGCTAAATGGAATTCAGTTAATCATTGACTTAATGTGATTTCTCAGTATTAGCATGCAAATGAGCACGTGCGTATTCTAAGAACATTGCTGAAACTAGAACAACATTTTGTTTATGTAAAATCATATGTGATTATTGTAATAACATCAAATGGTCATTACAACAGATGGAAAGTGAAGTGGATTTCAAAGTGCCGTATCATCAGGTGAAATCATTGC